ACTCAGTGTTACCAGGCCCAGCTTGAGGATACTTTCCCCTTAATAGTAATAAAAAAACAACAATTACCATTAACAAATACATAAATAAAAATGAAATGGTCTAAAATCCTACTATATCAGGATACAAAAAAGTTGACGTAATAAGTAAAATTAAAGTCTTTTCCAGATATTATACAAAAACTTGGTACCACTTAAGACTAAATATAAGGTATTTTGTGAAGAACATCAATTGCTCAGGTTACCAGTACCAAATGCATAGAAATAGATTGTTTTGAACACAAAACTATAAAGACTTCTGCACTTGGAGTCAGAAGCCCTGAAAACTAATTATGATTCATCCACAAAGGGGAAAAATGATCCACAGAAAAAGAATCACAAAACATTTTCCAGCCACATTTTGCTGAATATCAAATACTAGATTTTAAAATAAATTCAAGCAAGAGGGTGGCAGAATAAAGTATTCTTTCCCAGCTCTACTGTAGTTAATACAGCAATTCATAAAGCAAGAACTAGAAACACTCATTATAGCCAGCTTATTTCTCCAATCCTATCTGGGGGAACACAAGGCTTAAGAAGTGAACAGCCGCAGTTCAGCAATGAAGAAGTTTAAAAAATCCAATAGCAAAGACACCCCAGGCTTCATTCACAATCCTCCACATTTTACTCCCTTTAACCTATACTTCTTAGTCTCCTGCTTTAGCTCAGAAGGTAACTTTCCCACCCCCATGCTTATTAACCTGTGGGGCTTGGACTTGACTCGTGTTACCTGCACTGCCCTTCTACTCCACCTTGAAGGATCTCCTGCAACACAAAGCTCCGAGAGCTCACTTTGGCTCCATTAGACTAGATCTAGCCCAAAATGGACTATTTCTTCTCCTTTCTTATGTGTTTGGGTGGGGCCCTGAACCACATTCCTCCTCTCCTGCCCACATCCCTAGCATGCTGCTCAAAGAGTAGCATGCGGGAGACTCCTCTGGCCCATCACCAATGAAAGCCAGCCTGGAATATCTGGGCAGCTTGATTGCAAATGCCTCAGGAGTTTCACAGAACAGCACTAACAGGATTCACTGAATGACAAAATTCTTCTTGACTAACTACTACATATTTTGCAATAAAAATGTCTGTTCAAAGAAAAGGCCTCTCTCATCTATAACAATCAAATAGTCTTTGTGTGAGTTTCAATATGAAAATACAGGGTTTTAAAAAGTTAGCTTTGTTTTCCTTGAAGACTTTCTTTAAGACCTAAAGACATACACAATCATGACAAATATTTGCCAGAGATTTTCCCCCTCCTACAATATAATAACTCACCTGGCAATCATCCAATCTCTAATGACTACAGTTGACACTTGAACAACATGGGTTTGAACCGTACAGAGCCACTTACACACAATTTTTTTTTACAATACTGTACTGTAAATGGCTTTTCCTTATGACTTTCTTTTTTTTTTTTAAAGATTTTATTTATTTATTTGAGAGAGAGAGAATGAGAGAGAGCACATGAGAGGGGGGAGGGTCAGAGGGAGAAGCAGACTCCCCGCCGAGCAGGGAGCCTGATGCGGGACTCGATCCAGGGACTCCAGGATCATGACCTGAGCCGAAGGTAGTCGCTTAACCAACTGAGCCACCCAGGCGCCCCTCCTTATGACTTTCTTAACATTTTCTTTTCACTAGCTTACTTTATTGTAAGAATCTGGTATGTAATACATGTAACATACAGAGTATGTGTTGACTGTTATTGGTAAGGCTTCCAGTCAACAGTAAACTACTAGCATTAAGTTCTGGGGGAGTCAAAAGTTATATGCATATTTTTGGCAGTGTGGGGGTTGGCACCCCTAATCCCCATCATTGTGCAAGGGTCAACTGTATCCTATCTGTGTAAGATGACAGCTCATTCTAAAAACAATGCTTCTGTTTTGCCATTATTTGAACACCAGTAGTTTCCCCCAATAACAGATAAGCATTTTCTCTGTTGTCTATCCTTAGCCCTTAACCTGATTTCCTGGGCACTTTCCTTTCTCAATTAATGATCTTACTCATGGACTTGTCTTACAACACATACAGGAAGTTACCCTGACACCAGGGGCCCTCACTAAACCAAAAACCCAGTGTCCTAGACAACTGGAATTTTAATATTTAAGAGACATCAAATCTCAAAAGGCAACAAAAGGCTTAATTTTATGCTAGACAATGGCTCATCCATAGGTAACTGCCAACACACAAACAAGTAAAACAGACGAGTATCAGTGAAAAAGTCAAGCCAGTCCTCAAACTTAGCTTTCATTCATAAACAACTGTTCATATGGCTATAATTTTAAACCATATACATGTCATATTTTCTACCAGCCACATAGCACCTAAATCATATGAAAGAATTAAGTATCTTGATATGTCACAGAGTTGTACAAACAGCACCACGATCACCACTGATCTCCACTCTCAGATACACATGCAACAGGGGAGCTAGAATAGCCAAAGTACCAATAAACACCGTTCTGTAAATGCAGCACGTAAAGTATTCCCTCTCATCTCATAAAATATTAATTACAAAAATAAAAATGTTAAGTTTTTAGCCAGCCTGAAAAAGGAAGATCGTATGTGATTCCCTCTCCTTTACCCTTAACCAAGCTGTTTTTGCCTAGCCTCTTTGGTCAAATTCCCAAACTACTTAAAACACCACTGAGTCCCTTCATGTGCAGCCAAGCCACCAAAAGAGCCAGGACCCTGCTGCCCTGCCCCTGAAAGAAAATGGTTATTAGCATGCTTCTCAGTGAGGTCTAGGAAGGGGGGAAAAATCTATCTTCTACTGTGATCTAAATTTTCATGGACTATTTTCCCCTTTGCCCCATTTTCTCTTTAACCCTTTCCTAGTGTTTCAACTTTCCTCCATCTCTTTTTATTTCTTCCTCTCTATACCAAGTTCGTTTTGCTCCTTCCTTTCATGATCTTGAGGGTCAGAACAATGCCTTTTCCTAACAGCAGAGAAGGATGTACAGTAGACGGACTAGGGAATCTAGTTCACAGCAGCATCAGCTATTGTCATCAACAGCTGACAAAATTCACAGTATCCAAGAAACTATTCAACACCTACTATGGATGAAACACTGTGACAGGAATGATGGGGGAGAAAAGGTATAAAGCAGTTTCTGCCCCCCATGAAGTGACAATCTAGTTGGAGAGATCAGGCAAAAATACATGGAAAGGTAAAACAACATAAAGCGGTCCAAAGACTTCAGTATGTACTTTAATATACATGAGCTGTAATGTTCATGCACCGAGAACAAAGGAGGGTACAACCACTGTGCTGTAGGGGTCTCAAGAAGGCTCACTCAGGAAAAGTACAAGCTAGACTCTGAAGGAGCCCTCAAGGTATAAAAGGTGAGGAAGGAAAGGGAGGGCTTTCTAAAATGGGGAGAAGACTTTCCAGAGGGCTGACCCTATATCAGCTTAACAGCAAGGAAAAATGTAAAATGGGTAAATTTTATGTTACATGTATTTTACCACAATTAAAAAAAATGAGGATAGGTGTCTGGGCCCCTCAGCTGTCTCCAGCAGGGTAGGAAAGTCAGCACAGATGGAACAGAATTCTTATGCACAGATGAGAACATCTGATGAACTTAGTCAACTGAAACTGTCCAGCACGTAGCCACACCTGATGATACCTTTTCTAATTTTAAATACCAACACTGTGTATAACCTGACAAAATGGTTAAAGCAAAAGAAACTAGTTGACCAGATAGAGAGGTGTGTGCATTGTGAGGAAGAGATCTGATGCCTTTTCCACCACGGAAATGTCCTCTGGAAACAAGAGGTCCCAGCAGCTTTGCTAAAGCTATGGGGTAGAAATCCCAAATCCAGAGGTTCCAATGGGTCTCCATTCTTCACAGTTTTCTGACCACAAGAGAGGAAGTCTGCAACCCTCCCAGGAGCGAGTCACAAAAAAAGCTGTAGATTACAACTTCCCACTAGTTGCTAATAAAGCCCTGAATATCCAAATCGAAGGTATTAGTGAGCCTTCGCTGACCACCTGGGGAAAAAAAAAATCCCTAAACTAGTAGATAAAGTAGCTTTTAGAGAAATCACACACGGCATACCTTAGTTACTTCCATTTAAATACCAACAAGAAAATTACTTGGTTGAAATCATGCCAATGTGCCCTTGACCTTCAATTTAAGCAGATAACAAGATCCATATAACAGTTCCTGAAGGAAGGGCAATGAAATAAGAGAAATGTCCCCACTTTCACATAATGGCCAACATTAGAGGAGAAATTTTAAATTGTCTGGGAAATTGTCTAAATGACCATAAAAATATTCATAGTACATAGTGTTTTATGTGAGTGGACTATGTACTAGTCTAATATTACATAGCACAAAACGTACATGGTAAGGACAATAACCCGCCTGAGGTGCAAGATTGAAAAGCATACTAATTTTGTGTTAAAAATAAGATTCTTGCTGGAATAACTAACTCTTTAAAGTTTCCATATAACACCCCCAAAATCAAGGAAATACAAGCTAAAATCTCTTTCAACATTAGACATTAGTATATGAAACAATGGAGTTCAATTAGCCCAAAGGCACTGATTATTCAGGGCACATTCTGGGTACCTCTCAAGACATTTGCCAGAAATTCACACATGGTTATATGGAGGATGGTGATTCTGAGGCTAATCTTATCTTACCTCATAAAATTTTATAAGACTCACTTTCTGAAACCAGTGTTAATCTACATAATTCTGCTTCTATGTATTTCCAGTCTATCCTGAATCCACCCCATCCTTCCTAATTCTTAGTAACTTGGGAATTTGAGAGCCTTAAATATGCATATTTTAGAAAACAAAGTAAAGCATCAAATGTCCAACTAATACAACGCATACCTAAATTTAGTTTCACTACAGCGCCATTCATTCAATCAGTCTGGAGGAGACATCAGTTAGCAACAGCTTGTATTTAGATTTAATTGGGGGAATTACACTTGGAATTGACAACACTGCTCACCTTTAGGACAGAGGCTAAGCTGGTCATGTGCTCATTGAGGGCACCCTCGGACTCCTTGTAGGTCAAACAGGTGAACTGGTACTCCTCAGGATCAAAGGCGTCGGCCCCCTGCTGCTCCACATCGCTGGCTACTCCCACGTAATAGTCCTCTATGTCCCCAGGGTCCTCATCCTCTTCTTCCTCCTCACAATTTGGGTCATAGTCCTCTTCATTGCTGTCAGACCCCTGGCTATTCATGTCCACAGACATCTTAGCATCCAGCCAAGTTGCAGATCAGGAAAGCAGTTTTTTTCCCTCCCCCCAAACTTTACCACTTTCTCAAATGCATTAGTGTTTTTTGTCTTCTAAGGAAGGAAAAGAAAAAAATAAGTGTTACTTACTTTCACTATGAGAAGTTATAACAGTAACCACTGAAGAATCAAAATGGTATAGCCTGGTCCTATCCCCATTATGGCCTATTCCAACTCTGGTCTCATATTGGAAACACCATCATCTCCCTGACCAGGCTTATCTAAGGAAAACTCATTCCTTGACAAGCAGAAGCAGCTAATAATGGTAACTGCACATGAAGGGCCTGGCATGAAAGAGTCAGGAAGGCCATCTACTCCATGTCAAAGGGTCAAATTCCCAAGGATTTATCCTTCCTGCAGGAGTCCTTAAGAAAGAGGCACATCCCCACAGTTGGAGGCCCACAAGGGAAGCAACCTAAAGGTTGAGCTACCAAAATTTAAAATCTCTTTGCTAATTATGCCCCACTGGGAAGTGACACAGACGGTACACAAATGACACAATTCCTTTCTACTATAATGTCTAGGAAAAGAATACCACTGTTTCACAGACATAACTCTCAGATATCTGGAAAACAGGTGCATGGTTAGTAAAGAAAATGAAAGACACAAAGCTCTTCAACATCCTCCTCTAGTCTGCAAAGTTAACTGATTTTTCAGTTTTAAAGGATTCTACTGGTTCTTTAAAAGGGGTACTTTGACACAAAGAAATTGATCCAACAGCAAAGGAAAACGACAGATATACAGAGAAGATTTTGGCAAATACCCATTAACTTTTCTGCACAAGTACTGTTTCAAGCAATCATCTGCAAGAAACAGTATTAAATAGTGATTTTTTTAAAAAAGATTTTATTTATTTGTCAGAGAGAGAGAGAGAGCGCACAAGTAGGGGGAGCAACAGCAGAGGGAGAAGCAGGCTCCCCGCTGAGCAAGGAGCCCAATCTGGGACTCAACCCCAGGACTCTGGGATCATGACCTGAGCTGAAGACAGATGCTTAACCCAGTGAGCCACCCAGGCGTCCCTTAAATAGTGATTTAAATCTAAAAACTAATAGGACTTTAAAATGCAAGAGCATCTGGATTGGATGGTATGTAAATAACTTACATAACCAAATCTGGATTAAATACAAAAGTATTTATAAAGTCTATTTGAAATAGTTAAGCTCTCAAGAGGTGGCTCAGTCGGTTAAGTGTCCAACACTTTTATTTTTTTTAAAGATTTTATTTATTTGACAGAGAGAGACAGTGAGAGAGGGAACACAAGCAGGCGGGGTGGGAGAGGGAGAAGCAGGCTCCCCGCTGAGCAGAGAGCCCGATGCGGGGCTCAATCCCAGAACCCTGGGATCATGACCCGAGCTGAAGGCAGACGCTTAACGACTGAGCCACCCAGGCGCCCCAAGTGTCCAACTCTTGATTTGGGTTCAGGTCATGATCTCAGGGTCGTGAGATCAGCAGGGAGTATGCCTGAGATTCTCTCCCTCTGCCCGTCCCCCTGCTCTCACTGTGCGAGCTTTCTCTCTCTAAAAAGAATAAAATAATCTAGGGGTGCCTGCGTGGCTCAGTCAGTTAAACGTCTGCCTTTGGTTCAGGTCATGATCCCAGGGTCCTGGGATCGAGTCCCGCATTGAGCTCCTTGCTCAGCAGGGAGCCTGCTTCTCCCCTGCCCTCTGCCTGCTGCTCCCCCTGCTTGTGCTTGCTCTCTGTCAAATAAATAAATAAAATCTTTAAAAATAAAATGAATACATAAAATAATCTTAAAAAAAAAGAAATAGATAATCTCTCAAAAAATCAACCATAATTAAGACAAGAAATAAAAATTAAAACACATTAGGGGCACCTGGGTGGCTCAGTCGTTAAGCGTCTGCCTTCGGCTCGGGTCATGATCCCAGGGTCCTGGGATCGAGCCCCACATCGGGCTCCCTGCT